GTAGAGGAGAGGGCTGTAGCCGGCCCTGCTCAGCTCTGAGCAGCCTCTGAGCCAGGCAGGTGCCAGGACAGCCCAGCATCCCTCAGCTTGAGGTCGGCTGGTAGGAAGGTGCTCAGGATGGTGAAGGCAGCTGCCAGAGTCCCCGCCCACCCATTTCATTGCTTCCCAAACAAAGTACAGTGTGGTGGATGCCCTTGAACTTCAAAAGGGTGTGAGATCCCAAATTGCTCTAGTTCTTGCAGTAAAATTATAGTGATTTTTCTGTCTCTCTTCCCCAGCCTTGTCTTCTCCAGATTCCTCCCCTCCCCTCCTGTCCTTCAGTGGGAGGTGCTTTTCTAAAAGGTGGATGTAGGAGGGGCAGGGAGTCAGAAAAGGAGTGTTCTTGAGCTTTTGTCTTAGTCTTTGTGTCATGAACTCCCAGGCGGCAGGCTGGGACCCAGTGTGGCACCTAAGCCCTAAGGCCTGCTGCTGAGGTCGTGGGGGTGGGGATCTTACCCAGTCCCAGCGTCAGCACTTGGCCCCAGGCGGCCACTTTCCTGCCTGCTGCTGGCTCCCTCTTCCTGGAAATGGGGGAGGGGGTGGCTGGGGCAGAGGGCTTGGAGGGAAGCCCCTAGCATTTCAGTGGGCAGCGAACATGGTCTCCGGTGATTTCAGCTCATCCATAGGGAGAGGCACTTGGGCTTAATGGGGGGGATTTAAGTGACTGCGACCAGGCAGGGGTGTGCACGTGGATGTTGGGGGTCGTCACGTGGAAGGGAGAGTGGTGCTCTGTGCGTACACTTCCCATCCCTTTCCTGGTTTCCACTTGGCCACATTTTAGCCACCTGTGGCCCTCTCATTCACGCATTGCTCTTTGGAGCAGTGACCGGTCTCAGGACTTCAGTCCCTCTTCCCCTTTCGGACAGGCTGGGGCTCTTGGCCCCCTCCCCACTTTAGGAGGCCTGCCTTTCCCTGACCCACCGGGTGAAGGGCTTGCTTGTGTTGAATGATGCCTGTGAACGTCTTTTGAGCCTAGAATGTCCCGGGTCTTTCCCTAGTCCCCAGCCTTTCCCTCTCAAAGAATTTTCTGTGTGTGTGTTCTGCATCTTCCGCCAGTTGTCTGGTCCCGTGGGTGCTGACCACAGACATGTTTGCTGGAGCACTCCAGGCGCCTGGGGAGCCCTGCTTCTCCCACAGCCTGCCTGCCCGCCCCTCCCCACCTCCACCTTGAGTGCTCACAGGGGACATTTTTCATAGGAGGGGTGTGGCTAATCGCTTTCCCTTTGTTTAACTGTAATCCTTCCCTCTCGCCTTCGGAGCTGAGATTTCTCACCCTCAGAGAACTATCTTGGGCACCTCAGA